GGTGGTGGCGGGCATTGTGATTAATGTCAGGGCCGGATCTAACCTGTCTGATTTGGGGGTGCAGAGAAAAACATCAGGGGGGGGGCAGAGGATGCGAGGTCAACAGGGCAGTGTGTAAGAGTCAGAAGAACAGTGTACAGGTGGTCATCAGGGCAGAGGACGGGTCAACATGGCGGAAGGCAGTGGTCAGCAGAGTTGAGGACAGGGGTCAGCATGGTGGAAGACAGTGGTCAGCAGGGCAGAGGATAGGGTCAGCAGTTTGTAGGGCAGTATACACTTGGTTATCTAGGGGCTAGAACAGGGGTCAGCAGGACAGAGAACAGGGGTCAGCATGGTGGAAGACAGTGGTCAGCAGAGTTGAGGACGGGTCGGCATGGTGGAAGACAGTAGTCAGCAGAGTTGAAGACAGGGGTCAGCAGGGTGGAAGACAGTGGTCAGCAGAGTTGAGGACAGGGAAGACAGAGCATGGTGGAAGACAGAGGTCAGCAGGACAGAAGACAGGGGTCAGCATGGTGGAAGACAGTGGTCAGCAGGGGACAGAGGACAGGGGTCAGCAGCATGGTAGAAGACAGTGGTCAGCAGAGTTGAGGACAGGAGTCAGCATGGTGGAAGACAGAGGTCAGCAGGACAGAGGATAGGGTCAGCAGTTTGTAGGGCAGTATACACTGGGTTATCTAGGGGCTAGAACAGGGGTCAGCAGGACAGAGGACAGGGTCATCATGGTGTAAGACAGAGGTCAGCAGAGTTGAGGACAGGGGTCAGCATGGTGTAAGACAGTGGTAAGCAGGACAGAGGACAGGGTTCAGCATGGTGGAAGACAGAGGTCAGCAGGACAGAGGACAGGGGTCAGCATGGTGGAAGGCAGGACAGAGGTCAGCAGAGTTGAGGACAGGGGTCAGCATGGTGGAAGACAGAGGTCAGCAGGACAGAGGACAGGGGTCAGCATGGTGGAAGACAGTGGTCAGCAGGACAGAGGACAGGGGTCATCATGGTGTAAGACAGAGGTCAGGACAGAGGGGTCAGCATGGTGAGGACAGGGACAGGGTCAGCATGGTGTAAGACAGCGGTAAGGGGATCAGGACAGGCAGAGGACAGGGAACAGGGGTCAGCAGGACTTCAGGTTCAGCATGGTGGAAGACAGAGGTCAGCAGGGACAGAGGACAGGGGTCAGCATGGTGGAAGGCAGTGGTCAGCAGAGTTGAGGACAGGGGTCAGCATGGTGGAAGACAGAGGTCAGCAGGACAGAGGACAGGGGTCAGCATGGTGGAAGACAGTGGTCAGCAGAACAGAGGACAGGGTTCAGCATGACATGGTGGAAGGGGGTCAGCAGTGACAGTGTCAGCAGAACAGAGGACAGGGTTCAGCATGGTGGAAGACAGTGGTCAGCAGAACAGAGGACAGAGGTCAGCATGGTGGAAGGCAGTGGGTCAGCAGAGTTGAGGACAGGGGTCAGCAGAACAGGGTGGAAGACAGAGGTCAGCAGGACAGAGGACAGGGGACAGGGGTCAGCATGGTGGAAGACAGTGGTCAGCAGAACAGAGGACAGGGTTCAGCATGGTGGAAGGCAGAGGTCAGGACAGGGGTCAGCATGGTGGAAAGACAGGTGGTCAGCAGAGGTCAGCAGGACAGGGGGTCAGCATGGTGGAAGACAGAGGTCAGCAGGACAGAGGACAGGGGTCAGCATGGTGTAAGACAGCGGGTAAGCAGGACAGAGGACAGGGTTCAGCATGGTGCATGGTGCAGAAGGCAGTGGTCAGCAGAAGACAGAGGTCAGGACAGGGTTCAGCATGGTGGAAGACAGAGGTCAGCAGGACAGAGGACAGGGGTCAGCATGGTGGAAGGCAGTGGTCAGCAGAGTTGAGGACAGGGGTCAGCATGGTGGAAGACAGAGGTCAGCAGGACAGAGGACAGGGTCAGCATGGTGGAAGACAGTGGTCAGCAGAACAGAGGGACAGGGTCAGCAGCATGGTGGACAGGCAGGGGTCAGCAGAGTGGAAGAGGACAGGGGTCAGCATGGTGGAAGACAGAGGTCAGCAGGACAGAGGACAGGGGGTCAGCATGGTGGAAGACAGTGGTCAGCAGAGTTGAGGACAGGGGTCACTGCTGCAGGGCACTTAAAGGGGAGTTCCAGCTAATTTGGTGTTTATTAAAGTCAGCAGCTACAAAAACTGTATAAACACCCACTTTCCTGTCCCAGGGTGCAGCGATGTGCTCCCCCGCGCCGTCCCTTCTCTCCTCCATGGCACCGGCATCTCACCTGTGGGCACCAGGCTTTGACAGGTTGCAGCTTCAGCTCACAGTCTGGTGCCCACTGTGCATGCGTGAGTCATGCTGCTCTTCCTGATTGGTCCAGAAGTCTTCTGGGACCTGTGAAAGCTTCCAGGAGACTGCAGGAGGAAGGAGGGGGCTGGACTTCCAGCTCACTTTGCCGCGGTGAACTGAGCCGGAAATGGGAGTGGGTACCTGTCAAAAACACAGGTATTTGCTCCCTCCCCCCCAAAAGGTGCCAAATATGGCTGGGGGGGGGGGAAGCAAAGAAGCGGATCTAAGAGATCTCCTCCTCCCATACAGCACATAGCCGAGATCCGTATCCCTCCACACAGTGTGTAGCCGGCTACTGCAGCTGCCAATCCAGTCAGGGAATTTTACAGTCAGAACTGCAACTGCAGCCAGCTACACAGTGTGCAGATCGATGCCGTGTCTGTTCGGGAATCTGATCTCAGACGTGTTATGTGGGGAGGAGAACATCTGTTGAGTGCCTTGTGTGCAGTGCAGGCAGTGCCGGAACACGGTCACCTAGCACTGAAGGTGACAAACTGTGACCTCCCCCCCCCAAAAAAAAACTAGCACTAATCAACAAGCTCACACCCTACGCAGATATTCCCTCTGCAAACCCAAATTCTACCCAACCAAAAATGCAAAAATTCCCCATCCTCCCAGTCCAAATCCTCCTCCCAGCACAAATTTGTGCCCCCCATCCCCACCTTCCAGCTCAAATCCCCCTAATTTCTTTCAAATCCTCCATGCCCCCCCCAAAAAAAACAAAACTCTCCTCCCAAATTCCCCCCTCCTAGAACATATTCTCTCCCAATCCCCCCCCCAGTACAAATCCCCCTAAAACTCCACTCCTAGTGTAATTGCTCTCTCCAAATCTCCCCTCCTAGTACAAATACTCCTCCCTAAACCCCTCCCAGCACAAACCCTCCCCCAAATCCCCCTCCTAGTACAAATACTTCTCCCTAAACCCTCTCCCAGCACAAATCCTCCCCCAAATCGCCCCTCCTAGTATGAATACTCCCCCCCCTAAACCCCCTCCCAGCACAAATCCTCCCTCAAATCCCCCTCCTAGTATGAATACTCCCCCCTAAACCCCTTCCCAGCACAAATCCTCCCCCAAATTGCCCCTCCTAGTACAACTACACCTCCCTAAAACCCCCTCCCAGCACAAATCCTCCCCCCAAATCGCCGCTCCTAGTACAAATACACCTCTCTAAACCCCCTCCTCCTAGCACAAATCCTCCCCCAAATCACCCCTCCTAGTATGAATACTCCCCCTAAACCCCTTCCCAGCACAAATCCTCCCCCAAATCTACCCTCCTAGTACAAATTCTTCTCCCTAAAAAAACCTCTCCCAGCACAAATCCTCCCCCAAATCGCCCCTCCTAGTATGAATACTCCCCCCCCCAAACCCCTCCCAGCACAAATCCTCCCTCAAATCGCCCCTCCTAGTATGAATACTCCCCCCTAAACCCCTTCCCAGCACAAATCCTCCCTCAAATCTCCCCTCCTAGTACAAATACACCTCCCTAAACCCCCTCCCAGCACAAATCCTCCCCCAAATCGCCCCTCCTAGTACAACTACACCTCCCTAAACCCCCCCCCAGCACAAATCCTCCCCCCAAATCGCCCCTCCTAGTACACATACTCCCCCTTAAACCCCTTCCCAGCACAAATCCTCCCCCAAATCTCCCATCCTAGTACAAATACACCTCTCTAAACCCCTTCCTAGCACAAATCCTCCCCCAAATCACCCCTCCTAGTATGAATACTCCCCCTAAACCCCTTCCCAGCACAAATCCTCCCCCAAATCTCTCCTCCTAGTACAAATACACCTCCCTAAACCTCCTCCCAGTACAAATCCTCCCCCAAAATCGCCCCTCCTAGTACAAATACACCTCCCTAAAACCCCCTCCCAGCACAAATCCTCCCCCAAATCGCCCCTCCTAGTACAAATACACCTCCCTAAACCTCCTCCCAGCACAAATCCTCCCCCAAATCTCCCCTCCTAGTATAAATTATCCCCCTAAAAAACCCCTCCCAGCACAAATCCTCCCCCAAATCTCCCCTTCTAGTACACATACTCCCCCCTAACCCCCTCCCAGCACAAATCCTTCCCAAATCGCCCCCCTGAGTACAAATCCCCCCCCCCCAAATCCTCACCCCCCTAGCACAAATCCCCACCCCCACCCAAATCCTCCTCCTAGCACAAATCTCCCCCCCCCCATTCCCTCCTCCTAGCACTAATTCCTCCCCCCCCCCAAATTCCCCCCTCCTAACATAAATCCTTCCCAATCCTGCCTCCTAACACATCCCTCCTAATTACCCTTCCTAGCACAAACAGCCCCTCCGCCCCACCCCTCCTCCACAAGCTCCCCCTCCCCCTCCCCCAATCTTGCATGTGGGAAATGCAGCTTCTCTGTGATCTCCCTCCTCCTGCCATGCAGAAGGTCACACAGGATCGCTCTTCGATACGATGATACGACTTCATTACCCGTAGTTTGGTGGTTTACGAGTTTCTATTCCAAGCAAAACAAAAAACAAAATGAAGGATATTTGTCGCAGCAGCTTGGAGGGTCTGGGGGGTCTTTGGGGGGCCAGTGATTAACAATATTTTGTTACACTTTGGGGCCCATGTAGGGTACGGTGCTCCCACTGTGTGTGAATATTCCCCTCACATGATTGGGAGGGGATTGGAACACCTGAATCACATGATTGGGAGGGGATTGGAACACCTGAATCACATGATATGGAGGGGATTGGAGCACCTGAATCACATGATTGGGAGGGGATTGGAACACCTGAATCACATGATTTGGAGGGGAATGGAACACCTGAATCACATGATTGGGAGGGGATTGGAACACCTGAATCACATGATTGGGAGGGGAATGGAACACCTGAATCACATGATTGGGAGGGGATTGGAACACCTGAATCACATGATATGGAGGGGATTGGAACACCTGAATCACATGATTTGGAGGGGATTGGAACACCTGAATCACATGATTGGGAGGGGATTGGAACACCTGAATCGCATGATTTGGAGGGGAATGGAACACCTGAATCGCATGATTGGGAGGGGACACCTGAATCGCATGATTGGGAGGGGATTGGAACACCTGAATCGCATGATTGGGAGGGGATTGGAACACCTGAATCGCATGATTGGGAGGGGATTGGAACACCTGAATCACATGATTGGAGGGGATTGGAACACTTGAATCACATGATTGGGAGGGGATTGGAGCACCTGAATCGCATGATATGGAAGGGATTGGAACACCCTGAATCGCATGATTGGGAGGGATTGGAACACCTGAATCGACATTAATTGGGAGGGGATTGGAACACCTGAATCGCATGATTGGGAGGGGATTGGAACACCTGAATCACATGATATGGAGGGGATTGGAACACCTGAATCACATGATTGGGAGGGGATTGGAACACCTGAATCACATGATATTGGAGGGGATTGGAACACCTGAATCACATGATTGGGAGGGGGATTGGAACACCTGAATCGCATGATATGGAGGGGATTGGAACACCTGAATCACATGATTGGGAGGGGATTGGAACACTTGAATTGCATGATGGGAGGGGATTGGAACACCTGAATCACATGATATGGAGGGGATTGGAAACACTTGAATTGCATGATTGGGAGGGGGATTGGAACACCTGAATCACATGATATGGAGGGGATTGGAACACCTGAATCACATGATTGGGAGGGGATTGGAGCACCTGAATCACATGATATGGAGGGGATTGGAACACCTGAATCACATGATTGGGAGGGGATTGGAACACTTGAATCGCATGATTGGGAGGGGATTGGAACACCTGAATCACATGATATGGAGGGGATTGGAACACCTGAATCACATGATTGGGAGGGGATTGGAACACTTGAATTGCATGATTGGGAGGGGATTGGAACACCTGAATCACATGATATGGAGGGGATTGGAACACCTGAATCACATGATTGGGAGGGGATTGGAGACACCTGAATCACATGATTGGAGGGGATTGGAACACCTGAATCACATGATTGGGAGGGCGGGGACAATACTTTTGGCAGTACAGTGTATTTGTAAACGACGGTGAAGAGAGGAGAGCGGCGTCTGCTTCCACATCCTTTACTGTCATAAAATTACCATCCAGCCATTGCTTTGGGCGAAATCAATGTCTTGCGTTTTCTCCTTTCTTCAGGAATAATCCCAGTGGGAGGTATTCTGTGTCCCCCCCCCCCCCCCCCCCGGCCGCCATGCATATGTAACAAATAAATTAATTCTCTCTGTAATTAAAATGTTTATTGATTTCTCCTGTGTTGGCTGCGGATATAAGAACGGGAGCCGTGGAAACCGCAATACCGGCTTGTCTGCTGCACTTCCATGTTGCTGTCTTTGATCCAGGTCTCTGTTCTAGAATTGTCCTCCAGATTGGCGGTTTCAGATGCGCGTCATATAAAGGGGAAGGCGGGAAGGATGCGTCCTACAAAATACACCAGATATCAGATGCTGGAGGAGGTTGTTGTTTGATGTTCCTGACCAATGCAGAGCGACAATGAGGCACCGAAGTTATTTACTAAACAGGGAGAGGCTGAGACGTTCTGCTGCAACACGTCGGATCTGCCTCTCCCCTGCCGCAGCTGGAGGACGAGAGGCCATGAACAAGACTGCCAATGGCTGCAGCCTAGACAAGAGGAAAGTGGCAATTGGCTGCAGGCCATTCGGGAATAGCCCGTGCAACGCAAAGGGTTTCTGGACTCTGTGGTCCTCTGGAGGCATCTCCTGAACAAGTAAAGTCCATTGTGGGACCTACTGGGAGAGCAAGAAAAAAAGACTATGAATTCCCTGTTGGGTCAGTCTCATGTGGAGAGGAGAGATGGACGGGGCTGGTAAAGCTGCTGGTGTTCTGCTCAGGGGAGGACTGACCATTTGGAAACTCGGGCACTGCCCGAGGGCCCGGGGTCAGTAGGGGGCCCCATGAGATGCCCCTGGTACCTTTTTCATAGGCTTTTATGAGTTTGGGCATGGACACAGGGGCCCATGATCCCCTATTGCCCGGGGGCCCCATGAGTTGTCAGTCCGGCCCTGGTTCTGCTGACCGTTCTGACGTACAGTGCAGGAAATGCGTATTTGCTCCTCTTCTGATGCTGAATGTTCGCCCCTCACACAGAAACGATCGGTCTAACAATGGAATGTTCGCCCCTCACACAGAACGAAAACGATCGGTCTAACAATGGAATGTTCGCCCCTCACACAGAAATGATCGGTCTAACAATGGAATGTTCGTCCCTCACACAGGTCGGTCTAACAATTGAATGTTCGGTGTAACACTGAGAGACAGAATACAACAACAAATTCAGCAGAAATGCGTCTAACAAATGATGACGATCTGCATGTTCATGAGGGAAAGAAGGATTTGATCCCCTATCATTCAGCAGGATTTCTGGCTCCAGGTGTCTCTCATACAGGTAACAAGCTGAGATTAGAAGCAGTCTCTTAAAGGGAGTGCTGCTAATCTCATTGTGTTACCTGTATAAAAGACAACTGTCCACAGGAGCCATCAAACCATCACATTCCAAACTCTCCACCATGGCAAAGACCAAAGAGCTGTCCAAGGATGTCAGGGACAAGATGGTAGACCTACACAAGGCTGGACTGGGCTACCAAACTATGGCCAAGCAGCTTGGTGAGAAGGTGACAACAGTTGGTGCAATCATTCACAAATGGAAGAAACACAAAACAAGTGTCAGTCTCCCTAGGTCTGGTGCACCATGCAAGATCTCACCTCGTGGAGTGTCAATGATCATGAGAACAGTGAGGAATCATCCCAGAACTACACGTGAGGATCTTGTCAATGATCTCCAGGCAGCTGGGACCACAGTCACCAAGAAAACAATTGGTAACACACTACGCCGACAAGGACTGAAATCCTGCAGTGCCCGCACGGTCCCTCTGCTCAAGAAAGCCCATGTCCAGCCCGTCTGAAGTCTGCCACTGAACATCTGAATGATGCAGAGGAGGATTGGTGGGAAGTGTTGTGGTCAGAGGAGACCAAAATCCAGCTCTTTGGATGGGGCAGGAGGAATGTACCCTCCCAAATCTTGGTGGGTGAGAACCTGCTTCCCTCAAAGCCAGGGCATACCCTCAAATCTTGGTTGAGAAACCTGGGCCAGGGCAATTGAAAATGGGTGGTGGATGGGTGTTTCCAGCATGACAATGACCCAAAACACACGGCCAAGGCAACAAAGGAGCGGGGCTCAAGAAGAAGCACATTAATGTCCTGGAGTGGCCTAGCCAGTCTCCAGACCTTCATCCGATTGAAAATCTGTGGAGGAGCTGAAAGTTCGAGTTGTCAAACGTCAGCCAGGAAACCTTAATGACTTGGAGAGGATCTGCCAAGAGGAGTGGGCCAAAATCCCTCCTGAGATGTGTGCGAACCTGGGGGCCAACTCCAGGAAACGTCTGACCTCTGTGATGGCCAACAAGGGATTGGCCACCAAGTACTAAGTCATGTTTTGTGAAGGGGATCAAATCCTTCTTTCCCTCCTGAACATGCAGATCCGTCATCATTTGTTAGACGCATTTCTGCTGAATTTGTTGTTGTATTCTGTCTCTCAGTGTTACACTGAACATTCCATTGTTAGACCGATCATTTCTGTGTGAGGGGCGAACATTCCATTGTTAGACCGATCATTTCTGTGTGAGGGGCGAACATTCCATTGTTAACATTCAGGGGCGAACATCATCAGGGGGGAGCAAATACACATTTCCTACACACTGTAGCTGAGGCTCGGGATTTTGCTGAGTTCCAGTACTTCTGTCATGGTCAGAGGTCAGGGGTCAGGCTTGGAGACCAGTAGCTATAGCACTAGAGAGGCTCCCACCAACCAGCAGAACATGTATACAATCAAGTAACCCTGGCAGATGCTGTGGGCTCATCCGAGGTGAGGAGTCGAAGCACTAACTGGTGTTAGGAGCTCCTGATGGTGGGGATGGGTTTTGCTGCGTGTTAGTAGTAGTGTTCATATAGTGAACTTGGTGTAGTTATTCCCCTGAGGTCATCACAGAGGACAAAGGGGCGCTCTTTACATCTGGAGGAAAAGAAATGTCATCTCCAAACACGGAAAGGTTTCTTCACAGTAAGAGCTGTGAGAATGTGGAATAGACTCCCTCCAGAGTTGGGTGTGGCCAGCTCAGTGGGTTGCTGTAGGAAAGTCCTGGATTCTTTCTTGGATACACAGAATATAACTGGATATAACATTTATAGGGGACGTTGATCCGGGAATATCCGATTATTGCCTCTCTGATTGCCTCTCGGGGGATCAGGAAGGGATTTTTTCCCTGCAGGAGCAGATTGGATCGTGCTTTGCTGGGTTTTTGCCTTCCTCTGGATCCACTGTAAGTGTCGGATTAGAACTTTTTTTTTCTTTAATGGTTGAACTGGATGGACTTTTGTCTTTTTTCAGCCAGACTAACTATGATAGTACCAGGTGGCAGTCCCCCAAATCGCCTTACCAGGAAGTGAGCAAGTCGGGGTCCAGGAGCAGATATAGCAGCTTGGCATCATGGGAAGTGTAGGCCGTCAAGAGGCCAAAGATCAGCATCAGTGTATAAAATGAAATTCAACAGATCACAGTGTTGGGAATGTGAAACGTTCATCCTCGTATCTCTGCGCTGCTGATCTCCCGCAGCCTCTACAGCTGCTGATTATGGATGGACTGATATATCGGCGCCCGAAACGTATCGACCAAAGATTGTGTAATTCTGCCGATAGGAAAAAAAGCCGCTGATAATGGCCACCAAAAATTTTCCATTTTTTGCTGCGATTCTACCCGCGATTTCACCACAATTTTACCACGTGTAATGTGCGTTTTTCATAGGTCATGTGATTAAAAAAAAAAAAACGCATCAAAATGCAACATGTGTGCATTTGTGATGGGTTTTCAATGCATTTCAGGCCTGGTTCACTCCAATGCAGTTTGCGTTTTTTCCGTTTTGGGGTGCTTTTTGCATTAAGTTTTGTGTTTTTTAAAATTTTTTTTTTTTTCGGACAACTTGTTGCTGGGCAGATTAAAAATGCAAAATGCATTAAAAAAAAAAAAACATGAAAATGCGTCAAAAACGCACTACATACGTTTTCTGCAGCAACTCCATTGAAGTCTATTGAATCAAAAACGCAACGTTTTGCATTTAAAAAAGTCCCCGCCCCTTCCCAAAAAAGCAGCGACTCAAAAAAGCCTAAATGTGAACGTGTCCCATAGGAAACCATGTTAAATGGACTGTGGTGGTTTTTGCACAAAGCACTAAAATAGACATTGCTGTGCACCGGCCTCAATGAAGAGGTGGATTTTTTTGGGTTTTTTTTAACTGACCTAATATGCACCAAAAATGCGACAAGCAGGATTTTTAACACCACAAAGGAAGCGCAAAGGACCGGTGTGAAGACATACATTGAATTTAAAGGGATGCATTTTTCTTGAGCTTCTCTTGTTCCTTTTTTATCCTTTTTTTACGCAAAAGCGCTTCAAAAACTGCTCAGTGTGAAAGCAGCTTATTGGCCGAAAAGGTGCAGAAAATAAATTCATTTTAACTGCTTACCCGCCGCCGTATATCAGATATACCGCTACAGGGCGGCACGGTGCGCAAAATCACGTATATATATGTGATTTTGCATTTACAGGTAGGGGCACTCGTGAGCGCGCAACAGCCCTACCCCCACGCTGCCATTCACGGCTGCGGATGTCAATCACCGGGTCACGGCCAGTGATTACCCGCCTGCGCCTGGTGATTACCGGCGATCGCCGACGGGGAGGAAGATTGTTTTTTTTTTTTTACTAACAGTCCTCCTCCCTGTCAGCTTGAGCACACAGCACAGCCATCCAGAGCAGTGTGATCACAGTGAAGCACACACCCCCCCCCCCTAGTAACACCCCCCCATAGTAAAACACTCCCAGCACACAGTTAACCCTTTGATGGCCCCTCACATTAACCCCTTCCTGCCCAGTGCCATTAGTA